CGTTTTGGCGAGTATTCCAGCACTTCGCCCCGTTGCTGTACAATCAACATGTGTTGATTCGCATAGACAACAGGCCACGGCAGCCTACCTCAATCGCCAGGGAGGAGTACGATCTGCGCAGCTTCTGAACGCAGCCAGGTGGCTGCTGTTCTGGGAGCGCACACACGTTGCTTTCCATCAGAGCAATGTATATTCCCGGTGAATTGAACAGAGGGGCTTGCAGAGCGCAGGATCACCCCCCTCTGGGGGTAGACGCGTTCGCACATCAGCCGTGGCCCAGGGTGCTGTTATACGTTTTTCCCACCAGTTCCACTGACCCCTCGGTTCCCGGACCGAGTGCGGTCCTGATAGCCCCGGAGCGCATGGGAGCGTCCTGGTTTCCATGCCTACAGCGTACGCTGTCAGGCAGACCGTGGGAAATTCCGTGGCGCGGGGACGCTCTCTCCCAGGCGGAGGGAGCGATCAGCAGCCACCCAGCCGTTTTCTGCGAGGAGTACGGAGACTCAGACCTGTGTCACGCACACTGGCGCCTCAGTGGGACTTGGCTTTGGTGTTACGTACACTGAGTAAAGCCCCATTTGAACCTTTAGATCAGGTTCCCCTTAAGGTTTTGTCAGCCAAAGTAGCATTACTTTTAGCGCTGACATCAGCAAAAAGGGTGAGTGATTTGTCTGCCCTCTCTGTGGCTCCGTCATGTCTCCGGATCCAAGGAGATGGCAGCTCAGCTGTTTTGTCAGTGGAAGACATTTGCATTGCTGCATCTTCAAGGTTCAAGGTTCAAGGTTCAAGGTTCTTTATTGTCAATCTGACATAGCTACAGAGTAATTATGCAGTTGAAAATCTTATGTCACAGGCTTCTCCAACAATGCAACATAATAACATAACATAATAACAATAAGAGCAAGAGCAATACAAAAATAATAATAGTTATAAAAATGAAATAAAGTTATGATGTGGAATAGTGCAGTATGAGTCTATATACAAGTTATTGGAATGATATATATATATTAGGTATTAGATACATACTACTGAGTAGCAGTTGAATGTTTGATGTTGTTTCAACAGTTCAATTGTTTAACAGTCTCACTGCCCGCGGGAAGAAACTGTCTCCGAATCTTCTTGTCCTTGCCCGGATGCTGCGGTAACGTCTGCCAGACGGCAACAGAAAGAACAGTTTGTGGCTGGGGTGATGGGGGTCTTTGATAATCCGTAGTGATTTCTTCCTGAGCCGCTGGGAGTAAAGGTCCTCCATGGATGGCAGCTCCGTCCTGGTGATGTGCTGTGCAGTTTTCACCACCCTCTGTAAAGCCTTACGATCGAGGTCGGTGCAGCTGCCGTACCAGGCCGTCATGCTGCCAGTGAGGATACTCTCTATCGTGCACCTGTAGAAGTTGCAGAGTATCCTGGAATCCATTTTGAACCTCCTCAGCCTGCGGAGGAAGAAGAGCCGCTGTCGAGCTTTCTTGGTGATGGTGGTGGTGTGAAGAGACCATGTCAGGTCCTCAGTGATGTGGACCCCAAGGAACCTGAAGCTTTTGACTCTCTCCACCGTAGTCCCATTGATGGCGATGGGGGCGTGTCCCTCTCCCTGCTGCTTCCTGTAATCCACAATCAGCTCCTTTGTTTTGCTGATGTTGAGATGGAGGTTGTTCTCCTGGCACCAAGATGTCAGGTTTTCGACCTCCTCTCTGTATGCCGTCTCGTCATCGTCTGTGATCTGGCCGATGACGGTCGTGTCATCAGCAAACTTCACGATGGTGTTGGAGCTGTGTGTGGCCACGCAGTCGTGGGTGAACAGGGAGTAGAGGAGAGGGCTGAGCACGCAGCCTTGAGGGGCACCGGTGTTAAGAATCAGGGTGGAGGATGTGATGTTTCCCACCCGCACTGCCTGGGGTCTGCCCGTCAGGAAGTTCAGGATCCAGTCGCAGAGGGCGCTGTTGAGCCCGAGGTCTCTGAGCTTGATGGCCAGCTTGGAGGGCACAATGGTGTTGAATGCTGAACTGTAGTCAATGAACAGCATTCTCACATATGTGTTCCTGTTCTTCGGGTCCAGGTGTGAGAGGGCAGTGTGGAGGGTGAGGGCTATGGCGTCGTCTGTGGACCTGTTTGCTCTGTAGGCAAACTGCAGGGGGTCCAGAGATTCAGGGAGGGAGGAGGTGATGAATAATTTGACTAACCGCTCAAAGCACTTCATTATGATGGAGGTGAGTGCTACTGGGCGGTAGTCGTTGGGGCAGGTCTTCCCCCTGTTCGTTTATTCAATTCTATTTGAGGGATGTCTCCCATTCCTCTCTGACACACCCTGTACTGAGTGTCTTGTCAGAGTGAGTGATGTCAGGTATCCAGCTGTGCACTCTCCTGCCTTTTCCCCCTTTTTTATCGCTGGACAAAGTGTAACCTTCGTCTCTACTTTCTCACAGCGGCAGGTATGTATTGTTCCCAGCCTTCGTCCCCTCATGGAGATTATTCATGTTATGCTATATTCCAGGGACTGTGATGCGCCATTCGCATGGCGCAATAGGCATGGCGCAATAGGCATGGGTTATTATCTGAGCAGGTGTGTCTGTGCTTCTGGTACCGGGCGGACCCAGTGGGGCGCAGACTACATCTTGCTTTGCCCTTAACCCAATAGCGATAGCCTTACGCCGCCTACACACGGCGGCGTGCGTTGCCGCTTCAACGCTTCTGCCCATTCACTTTGAATGGGGTGACGTCACGCTTCGCCGAACTGCATTGTGGGAGCAATGTTCCACTTTTGAAGCGTCGACGGAGGCGTCAGCCAATCAAATCCCGCATATGCAAATCTGCCAGTACAAGCGCTAGCCAATCAAACCGCGTGTATGTTGGGAGAGCCAGACCGCAGTTAATTTCCTCATATGTCAAAAAATGGAGGAGAAAATAATCGTGGCGGTAGGGAATCACCCGGTGCTATACGACCAGTCCCTCTTTACCTACCGGGATATAAACCAGAGGAGCCAGGCATGGAGGGAGGTGGCAGAGACAGTGGGTGAAACTGGTAGGTTTTCGCCTGTTTGGGGAGTTTATATCCAGTGTACTTCGTTTGAATGGACAGCTAGCAAGTATAGACAGTATATAGCCAGCATGGAATGTTGCGTAAAATAGCACCATAGACATTAACGTCATAAATGTTCATCATATAAAGTGTGACATGTAAAACCTTTTATGCAATTGACAGGAGAGATTCATGTGATTGGTTGTTGGTCGCGTTGCTCGCGTAAACTCCCCAGGCTCAAGACACGCCCACCGCCAAGCGTCAACGCACGCTGCCGTGTGTAGGGGCCGTTAGAGGGCGAAGCCTATACAAACTATAACTGAAGTTAACTACTGTAACTCCAGCTTCTATGAGTATAGGCGCAGCCCTCTAAGTTCTGGGCCCCACTGCCTCCACGAATAGCTGAAGAAAAGCTGTTTGTGTAGGAGCAGATTGTCGGGCCTCCTTCCTATTTATACCAGAAGTGAGTCAGAGGGTGGGGCCCACCTCGCGGGTGGGCGTGGACAACAAGTGTTTCAGTGCTGCGCGGGTGCGCAGGGGACTACCCAATAGCGATAGCCTTAGAGGGCTACGCCTATACTCATAGAAGCTGGAGTTACAGTAGGTAACTTCAGTTCATTGGATAAGATTCATACAGATAATAAAAACACTAATACTCTTGGGAGATTAGGAATTGGAGCAACAATGTAAACAAAAGCATCAAAAACAAACTACTATAACAAACCAAAATAAGGGAAACAAAACAGTAAAACAAAACAGCAGTGGCGGACAATCTATAAAAGAACAAAGCACATGTTACAGAAATGCCGCCATACCTTATGTCCCTCGGACAGCGCAACCCATCACACACACACAATACCACTGGTCTTGTCACCGTCATGGGCTAAGCTACAGTCTGCTGGAGTAATGTGTAAAAGTCAAACATCCAGAGCCTAACATGCCACTAACTCGATAATTGTGGAGACTTACCGGAAATGTCTCGGTCGAACGGGAAAGAACTATCAGGTATCAGCTGTTTAAATATTGTTTACCAAGTGAAGGGAATGCGGAAGTGGGCAGTACCTCTGTAGCGCAATACTACGGTGGCCGAAAAGTGGTTTACCTCTATGGTCGGCTACAACAGCATTCATCGAGATGAGACTACTGAGCCCTCTTTAGTGAGTTGTGGTTTGATATTTAAAAATGTTTTAAATATGAAAACTGGACAGTCATAAGTGACATACACAATGTGAAATCAGAGCCGCTGTCACCATGTTCAGTACAACTGTAGTGTAAAACAGCATAACAATAAAACAGAAATGTCACTCTGAGTGTAAGAAAGCGCAGGGGAACCTTCTGGCTCTGTGGGGGAAACTTGAAAACATTTTAAATTAGACGTTTTTTGTTTCTTATAGAGAAGTAATTTGTGTTTTGTGAAATCTTTCAAAATGTATTTTAAAAAACCAACAAGCACTCCAGAAAGACACACAGAAAGGGTTTACAGTTAAACGCTAAGGTTTGGAAACATCTTGGTTTTGGTTGAATTGATAGCAGAAGGTTTCAGGGACACATGCACTCATACAGTCTGATGTTTCTCTCCAGGTTTAGACTCTCATTCTGGAACCTCAGTCTATCCTAACTTTTGAAAGAACATCCATAACATTCATCTGTTTGCAACTTATATATATATCAATATTCCAATTACTTATATATAGACTATTCTGCACTATTTCTATTATATTCTATTTTATTTTATTTACTTGCACTATTATCTGTTTTATTGTTGTTGCACTGTTGGAGGAGCCTGTGACCTAAGCTTTTCATTGTCATAACTATACTGTAGCTATGTACGAATGACAATAAAAGCCTTGAATCTTGAATCTTGAATCCTTCATTTTAATTGGTGCCTCAAAGCAATAACAAAAGAACCGGGAAATATTGGCCGGCTTTAATAATAACCACCATCTCGATTACAGACTGACTTTTTATTTTTCTCTGTATTTCACAGATGAAAGCTTCCTGTGTTTAACCAAACATGAGCCTGTTGGAGTGTGTGGAGCAATCATTCCGGTAAGTCCAGAACAAGTCCAGAGCAATCACTTTTTAAGAACAATTTTTAGTGTTCACATTGCTATAACTTGGTGTAAAAAGTAAATAATGTTACTGTGTGTGTTTGGGCGTGCATGCACATGATTGTGTGTGTGTACAATCTAAATAAGCACTTAAACATTTACACCATTGCACAATATCAAATGTTTAGGTTGAGACTTTGTGCTGTACAGCTTGCATCTATACATGAATATTAATCATCTTTCAAGTGTTCTAAAGATGCGGTCTTGACGACGGCCCTATCAGAAACGTTGCTGTATCAGAAACAATATGCGACGTGTTTTGGAAGTAATATGGTCTGTGTTTACATTAGCAAGCATCGCTAACACTCAGAGCTAACGCTGTACTGTACTGGAGTATGTGTAAAGAAGCCGGATATAAAAGGTACTGTCCTTGTGGTAAACCCGCGAGAAAGAAAGCGTTTGAGCTCCATACTGTTTCAGAAATAATCCTTGATGTGGTTTGGAACATACTATGGCGTTTAATCACGGCAGCGTTTAGCTGAGTTTCTGCTGGTAGAAAGCCTTCTCTTTACAGAGCTCACTGCTGTTGTTGTACAAGTAAAACACATGCATCACTAGTATGCATTGCTTTCTAATTTGGGTTTGAGTGCCCAATTATTTGTCCATTGCTTCCAACACAAAAGTGAACAAGTGGAAAATAAATGACCTCTTTTCTGAATGTCTTAACTTTGAATGATCTCTTAGTATTTAGAGCTCATTGTATTATCAAGTATATTCTCTCTGGACCAACATCCAAGTCATACAGTATATCTTTCTGGGGAACCCAAAAAACTGATGGATAATTAGCCCCAGTTTATGCTAGTTTTTTATTTCGGTTGGAGACTTGCAGTTATAATTCAGAGTGAATGGCATAAGCTACTCTTTGCCCTTTCCAAACTATCCTAAAAATGTTCGTCCTCTTAGTACAAAACAAAGGGGCAGCATGATCAGACTGTTTTACAGTTAGTCAAAAGGATCAGCCATAGCTGAACTTGCTTGGTGTCATTTACAAACACAAAAGAGGTATATAGCATTAGCCTAAGCTAACCAAGCAGGAAACCTCCCTAGGGCCTCCAGGGGCCCTCAATAGCCAGGTTCACTGTTAGGAGGTTACATGATCTTACACGCAAAAGGGAAAAGGAGAACATGAAGAAAGAAGAACGTAAAGACGTTTCAAACGCAGTCATCAAGGGGAACGCTAATAAACATGGGTTGGCTTGTTATTTGGACGAGTTCATGGAAAAAGGCCAAAACATTTAGCAAATCCCACTAACAAATTCAACAGGGCTCTGACTGCTTATTTGCTCATCAATAATACATGAATAATGATCTATAAAAGGACTCAATTTCAATACGAAGACAGAAAAGGAAGAGACTATTTAATAATGTATTGGACAAAAGTGAAGGCAGAATAAGGGAAAGCTTCGCTTATGACTTTCCTGTCATTGAGAAATCATGTGGCTCATCGGGTTGGTAAACTCCGTCAAGATGGCAAACTGAGGGTCCAGATTCTGAAGCTCCTCTGATTTACAGCGAGATAACAAATTCTGGAGAAAGGAAATGCACCTCTGAAAATTCCATTCTCAACGGACTTCAGCGCCAACACACGTGAAAGTTGCAAACCCTGCCACCCAGTGTTGAATCAAGCAAAGCTGGGGTCCAGTTCCACTTGAGATTAAAAGTCCCAGTTTGATGATAACTATGAAGGTCTGTCCTCTGAACCGACTCATACTATGTATGATATGAAAAGTACACTCATCTTACAGATATTTTGTATCAAACGACATATCTGTAAGATATCTGGACTTCCGGTTACTTTGTACTACATGAGAAGTACCTCTGTACTTCAGACTGCGGCTAATGGTACACGTTTGTTTTTGAAATTCTTATTATTGGTTTGGGGAGAATGACATGGCTGTTTTGTCTAGCTAGTCTTGTTGTCTAATTATATTTACTGCGTGTCTAATATAATATAATATAACCTAATATGTCATCATTGCCTCTTTCCAACTTTATTTATTATTTTAAATAATACGCTTCTCAAATACCGAAGACCGAAAGCAGACAGGAAAGATTGGTTTTGATTGGTTGTGCGTCGTCACATGACAAGCGGTGACAATTCTAAAATATTAATTGCGAGGACGCAGCTGTGAGTGGCGTCTACATTGACAACAGTGGATTTGAGTACGCAAAAACACGGCATGTGTACGCCGCCTTAAACTTACTGCAAATATCATTTTCTGCTCATCCCAGATTACAGTACAGAATGAAGATGTTCATATTTCTTTACATGCTGATCTCCTGATATCCTGCTGTATCTTGGTAATGCCCCCAGTCTGTACCTTACCGTCTTTGGATTTTTAAAGATGTTGGCAGTTTCTTACAGTTTCTTCCCTTTAATAAGTCTATATGTAACTGATTGTAATTATTTCAGATAACCCAAAAGTATTGTAAAATGTGTTATTTAGTAAATCAGATATATCCTACAGTTGATAATCACTAAAATAATTTAGATTACATTTAAAGAGCATTTAAATGGATCTTGATGGATCGGTTGAAATGCCAAACTATATTGTCGCAATGCTCTAAAATTAAAATTAATGTTTTACTTGCAAGAATGTTAATATAGCTCTATGATCTTTCTGTCACTATCAGTGGGGTTTTGGAATAGGTTGCCTTTATTTTTCTCTAAAATTATTTTGAAAGGCTAACGCACTTGGATCAGATTTCCTACCTAATGTACCTAAAAGAGAAATGTGCAGTTGGGCAGAATAAACCACATTTAAAATTTCTTCTTCATTTAAACATTCCATTATACAAACTGTAACTCCAGCTATAGTCAAATCATCTCCCTATTAATTGTAATTTCATCAGCATTTTGCATTATTCCATATTTATGATTAGCTACTGGGAATAGGATTGTCTCCTTTCCTCCTTGGGCTGATCAAAGGTTATAAAGATGTTCAATTTGACAAAATATCATAGTCCTTTAAGGAAGTAAGCAGCAGTTTGATAAACCAGCTGTGTTAGTATGGGCGTAGCCTTACAAATGCTGTAATAAATAAGTATTATGATGGTGTAATGTAAGTGTGAATTCAATCCCTTATTGGCGATTGAAGAATGAGAGACCCAAAGTGATGACTACAAACTCCTTAAGGATTTGAAGATAGTTTGGCTCTGCCACTGTAGCAAAGGAGTGGCCCAGAAGATCATCGTGCCCCATCGCCCTGTAGCAGGTTAACCTGCATAGTATCGAGAAGCAAAATGTTATGGAATATCATGTTCATTCATTAAAAAACGTTTTGTAGCCTGATAGAGGGGGGTGAATTCAGTTTACATTTCATTATAACTTGAATTTCACACTAACTGTGCTACTTTTGGGATATTGTGCTTGAAACCTGCCTTGTTTTTTTTATTATGCTAGTGGAACTTTCCTCTACTGATGTTCATGTGGAAGATGGCGCCAGCCCTGAGCTGTGGAAACACTGTGGTCATCAAGCCAGCGGAGCAGACCCCCCTCACAGCCCTCCACGTTGGATCACTTGTCAAAGAGGTCTGATATTGGACTTGAAACCTCTCTCAGTCCTCTTAAACGAACGCAAAGGAAAAATCCCGCTCTCATGTGATCAGTGTGTTCTGCTTCCCGAGACAATCTCAAACTTAACCTTTTAACTATGTCTCCAAAAGGTCAGTTAGGTTCCTCCATGCGTATTCTACACAGTCTCTTAAGCTCACGGACACCACTATTTATCCCTGATGATATTTTGTCACTTTTTTATTTTTAAAAAGGCAACTCTTTCCGATGTGTTCCTTATGTTTCACTGTTGTAATTATAGGTTTCAATGTCAATGTGATCTGCTATATACTTTATATAACAGCATTCTTATTATATGGTTATAGTCCCTTCAATTTGGTAAATAAATAATGAATCCCTAATACTAATCTTATACAGTCTTAGTATATAGTAACTAATAATGTACTGAGTCATCGATTCGGTCCAGTTTAATTTGTAGAATGTTATTTCCTTGAAACCCCCAACTTCCTTTTAAGGTTTGAATCTTGTATCAATGGTAGTTACAAACCCAGACATTTGTTGTTAAAGAAAAATAATAAGATTAGAGATAACAATATTTTTCAACATTAAGACTAATAACTAATAACTATATAATTTGATCATATGATCATACAGAAAGAAGATATAAGGAATACTGGTACCACTTTACAATAAGACTACCCTTATAAAGGATTCATAAAGGGTTTATAATTAGGTTATTAATTAGGTTGTAAACACTTTATTAGTCATTAAGAACCATTTATAAACCAGTTCTAACATAGTTTTCATACATCAACACAGGCTCACTATTTGGCAAGATGACTAAGCCTTATATTGGCGCTAGCTTACTTCGTCTTCTTCATCAGCCAACATCCTTGGTATCTGTTGTTCAGTGAGTTGAGTCCCCCCCATCCATCTTGATGTTTTTTGGCATCTATTTATGACCATTTATTTATGAGTTACTAACATTTATAATTGCCAAAAGGGAGCCTTGTAAAGTGTTCAACAAATCACCATTTATTAATGAGTTACTACCATTTATAATTCGTTTAAGTTTTATTAAAGGTCCCATGACATGCTTTTCCGGTTATTGCCCGTCCCCTTGTGTGTTATGTAGCTTTTTAAGCATGTAAACCAGGGGTGGGGAACCTCCGGCCTCCGGGCCGTATACGGACTGCGAGACCATTTGATACGGCCCTCGAGGTAATTTATAAACACCCGCAAACATTTTTTTTTTAAGAAATCTAGACCGCAAAAGAATTAAACAAGCGAGTGCCTGTTTTTTCTGGCCAAGGTCAGGGTCCTTGAACACAACACGAGCCTAACGTGTCATCACGTGGTATATGTCTTGTCTGACAGGGGTGTAGAGTGCTGACGGAGAGCACCAGACCGCCGCTCCGGCACTTTTGCAGTACCCATAAGGAGCCGTACACATGCCGCAGTTTTTTGCGTGGCTGTGTCTTTAGTTGAAAGCCCAGTGGCGATCTGTTCATCTGTCATACTGATCATACAGTCAATAACTTTGTTGTATGCTAACGAATATAAGAAGCTTTTTCTACAACCAGTGAGGTAAAGGCACATCTTTATATGATCCTTATAGTTATAAAAAAACAAGAGAATAAAGGAAAAATTGGTATAAAATACTATATGACAGTAAAAGAAAGTTGTTATTAATAAACAAGAATAGAGTTTGAAAGGGGAGTGATTTGTAAAATATCCATAAAGAAAAAGAAAATCTGCTTACAGTTCTGTTTCATATGGATGTTGAGAGATGTATCCATAGATCTCTTAATTTTGCTCTCAAAGTGCACCAGATTGATGCTTTTAACTTCAACATTTAAAAACAAATCTTCCCGGGGGTGCATGCCCCCGGACCCCCCTAGAGGAGGTGAGGTCCACCCCCCCACGTATATCATGTTCACATGGATAGGACACTAAATACATTTGCAAATATCTTGTGTCCATATCTTTCTGTTTTGGTGGTTTTGGTGGTCATGCCACAACCGTGCACGTGCATGCATGCGCGAGTCATAGTGAGATATCTGGATTATCTTTGCACAGCATGAAAGAAAGGCGAAATGAATGGGCTGTGATTTTAGTTTTTTTAAGCAGAGGTTGAGTTCAATAATTTCTACGGCCCTCGGAGGATGTTGTGAAAATTGAAATGGCCCTTGAGAGGAAAAAGGTTCCCCACCCCTGATGTAAACGGTCTGCAAAGTCACAAACCCTCAAAGTACACCCTGTAGCGAGTACAACTCTAACACAGAAAATACCTGTCTATGCTGCCCTAGAACACCTCGTTGGAGATTTTTATTCTCCTGGTCATAGTGACGTAACGCTGCGGAGCTCCGCACACATACACACTCACTCAGCCTTATCTTTTCTCAACCGCGGTGCTGCGCAGAGCTCCGTACACACACACACTTGGAGCTCAGGCTGTGAGTGTGTGCTCAGGCTGAGCTCCGCGGTGTCTCGCTGTCTCACAGACCCCACGCAGCAACCAGGAAACGACACCAGTAATCCAGCTCACACTGTCCGCTCCTCGAGCCTCAAAGGGCGGAGCAGCGAGCCCCGCAACGTCCCGCCAACACGGCACCCAGACCCCACGCAGCATTCTCATCTGTTTGTCCCTCCTGGTGTCATTTTCTGGTTGCTAACAAATGCCATTGTAACACATAAACACTAATGTCCAGCTGTAACGGTGGTTGACTAATCAGAACAGAGTGGGCGAGCTGATCAATCAGAGCACAGTGGGCTCATAGGGAGGGGGGGGCAGGAGCTCCAACAAGGCGTGTAGGACAGAGAGTGAATTCACATACTATACAGAGATGCTGTATGAGAAAACCAATGTGATTTTGGAACATTGAACAATGTAAATCTATTCTAGTAGACCTCAACACTGGAATTATGATCAGTAGAAATGGCCATGTCACGGGACCTTTAAGCCTTAAAGTTATGCATAAATTAGGGCGTGGTCACATTGAGTGACAGGTCTGTCCAGTGACTGCTGTTGTTAGCTTCCTGTCTCGCTGCTAGCAGCTCCGTGACGCTACAGGGACTCAGCTTGCTCAGCTCATCCGGGGAACATAACTTGAACTCGGCCGTGTTTGTTGTGCTGGTGCCTTGTGGACTATTCTTCATGCTTATATCGGACTATTGTGACTCGCACTGCGGTTAAAACAGACGGTGCATGAATGCGGTTTTGCGGTAAGTGACATTCGAGTACTTTATTTATGTGTTGCTTATGTTTTGAGTCAGCTAAGGTTAATGGATGTTAAGGCTTGGGTTAGCATGTAGTGAGCAAGTGGTAGCTACATCTGTGCTAACGATGCTAATCGTATAGCCTCCAAGTTAAAACGTAATAGAGAAGTGTTAAGCATTAAGTGGGATAATACTGTCGAACAAACGGCTTCTGTTTGAGGTTGGTAAAATAAGGTCATCCTTGTAAGTTAGAGAGATATTTTAGTTAGGTAACTTTATGCATTGCTTAGGTTAATTTAAATTCGCTATGATCGATTATGTAGACAAGCTAACGTCAATGTTGAAGAGCGGCCGAGTGTATGTGAAATCAACCTCACAATAAGATGTGTTTATATTACAAATAATAATGTCATATTTCAAGATGATTACTTAGATATTACAATATGGTTGGTTGAGCTGGAGTTCATTATTGAGCTTACACGTTAACGTCACAGTCATATCTGAAGAACGAACCCAAACCTTGTTCTTTTTATTAATTGTATTACCAAATTGGTATCAAATAAATAGTAAGCATTGGTAATACCAATGCTGATAAAGTAAACTATTTTATTTGAGTATTTGTGTCTGGGAGAAGGTACTGTACCCAGTTCCTATGTTCGGCAGTTATAGACTGGGCTTTCTCGTACAAGAGAATACAAAAAAAAAAATCAATATGGACCATTACTGTATAATTATCCTTAAATTATGTTATACAATGCACCTAATAAACAAGTATGGTATTTTGACACATGATGTGCAACCATTTTACTGTAATTTGTGTGCATTTTGTTGTTAACTAAGAGGATGTTATGATTTATTGTTTGTTAGTATGCACGTGGACGCTTTGGACATACCTGGAGAAGGAAGAAATGGGTCTTCGGAATGATGGGAGTTAAAGACAAAAGGCGGAGACTAGTGTTGAAACTAGTGGAGAAAGGATCAAGATGCCACCTTGCCCCTCTGATTAGACGGCATGTTAAGTCAGGAAGTAACATTATTAGTGATGAGTGGAGGGCATACAGGAGAGTGCTGAGTAACATGGGGTACAACCACTACACCATAAACCACACAGACTGGCAGTCATACCCAACATAATGAAAGAGCTTGGTCGACCGTCAAAGGACATGTCCGTAGACTGAGACGAAACCGAACAGAGAGTTTGTTGGAGGAACACCTCAAGGTTCTTCAATGGTCATCTTGGCTTGGCTCTGCTCACCCTGATGGACTGCTTGGACGGTTGTTCAAGGACATACACAAAGCCTTTCCAGTCTGAGTACCATTATGTCTTACCAAGTCTTTCATTTATGAATAAAATGTTTTGCTTCGCTCTTTTGCATCTTACTTACTTTTACTTTGCATTTCATGTGAAAAATGTGTATTAGGTCAGCGTGAATGTTATAACTCATTCATAAATGGACATGTGTATTAAACTTAAAAACAACGCACCCTTTCAGTAATTATAAATCGTAGTAACTCATTAATAAATGGGAATGTGTTTTACATTTACAATAAGGCTCCCTTTTGGCAGTTATAAATGTTAGTAACTCATTTATAGATGGTCATAAGAGATGCCAAGAAACATCAAGATGGATGGGGGGAGAATCAACTCAGTGAACAACAGATACCAAGGATGCTGGCTGATAAAGAAGACGAAGTAAGCTAAGTAGCCAATATAAGGCTTAGCGGTACAGATAAATGTGGGCTCACTATTTGGCAAGCAACCGGTCACAGTTGCCCTGTTTATCTCATGTCTTATAAAAGCTTATTAATGATTTATAAAGTGTTAATTAATAAATTAATTACAAACTATTCGTAAACCCTTTATAAGGGTAGTCTTATTGTAAAGTGGTGCCGGAATACTTGATTAAATATACAATACAAATATATTTGTACAAATTAATTAAATGTCTGTAAAAGTTGCTGTTCTCTGGGACAGTAAACCTGACTCGCAGCACCAACTTTCTCTCTGGGTTGGCTTTCAGGCAGGGTTCCCTCCGGGAGTTGTGAACATCGTTCCAGGCTTCGGTCCAACAGCAGGGGCAGCCATCGCCAGCCACATGGACATCGACAAAGTGGCCTTCACTGGCTCTACAGAGGTGAGTGAGTGTACTGTATGACAGCAGCTGTTATCATGATTTTGACAAATTTGCATGAAAGACTCTCTTAAATACTTTGATATAAAAACCAGCGACCCTTTTGAGTTGTGCAGTGCTGTTTTGCTGTTTGAATTGTAGAATTAAAGCAAGGCCGGTGTTGATATAGTAAGAAAATACAGAGGAAATATAGATTACTTAGGTTAATATTTGGCGAGTGTTATGTCATGAAACTATTTATTAATTTATTGATTTATAACCGTAATGATTTGATTCTGTACAATCACAAAGTAATGAGCTATAGGGCTGCATACTTATTCAAATATTAATCGCAATTATTACAAATAAGTGCTCCACTCATAGAAAGCTTAGTTTCACATCAAAACCAGCGCTTCATGCATTAACCAGCCACCAGCCAGTGATCAAGCAGTGCCAGGAGTCACAGTGTGCTTGTGGACACACTGTTATTTACTCAACAATAACACACAATTATCCTTGTTTTTATTTATTTGTTTAATTCTATAATATCTGGCTTTTTTGCCGTCCGTCAGGAACTGAATTTCAAAATAAAGTCACCGGAAACAGACGTAGGTGATACACACCCACTGAACTGATTACCCAAGATCCTCAGCTATGGTTGAAGCTCAGTGATTGGATGTTTTAGCCGCAATGCACGTTGGGATATGGTGTTAATGCGATATGAAATAACCATCAACAGAATTGTGTTGCCAGGCAACAGCTTGGGGTGAAAACAGTATTTCCGGTCTCGAAGTTGGCATAGTAATCTGCAGTACCCATCAACTAAAAACATCAGTTTATCCTTGTTAATTACACAACATTGATTGGTTTAAATTGTGTACAATGCTTTTGTGTTTTCCCCCTTTGATTCGGAGAAACAAATCGTTTTTTAGGATGGCCGAAGACACCCATAATCCTCAGCTATTGTTTGGGACTATAGTCCCTTTGCTTGACAAACCCTGTGATTAATCTTCAAGCTCTGTGATTGGATGTTGGAGTGGCAGTGTGCCAAGGTTACGCCGAGCGTCAAACAGCTCTATGAAATGGAATGAAACCACGGCAGACTATCCAAAACTGGACTCGAAACCCCCCCCCCAGAACTACACATGCTGGCCATTGTGTTTCGCAACATGTTCTATGGCACGTCTCTACTGGGAATTGTAGTTTTAAAAGACGTTTTCGTTTTTCCCACAATTAGAAGTTGCCAGTATTAAACTGTGTACACCCCTGGTTAGGGCTGCTCGATTATGGCAAAAATCATAATCTCGATTATTTGGGTCAATAATTGACATCACGATTATTAAAAACGATTATCCATTTACTTTGAAAACATCAATCTATTGGAGTTTTTTTTTTTAACAGTATGTTTTTAACAGTTGATTACCCTGAACTTTAAGTATAATTCAACTGAAAAACCAATAAAAAAAGAAAAGAAAAGAAAAGTAATAATATTAATAAAGAAATAATCGTTTTATTTCGATTACGTTGTTTTCGTAATCGTTGCAAGCCATAATCGTAATTGCGATGAAAATACGATTAATTGAGCAGCCCTACCCCTGGTGGTTTAGGGGATAAGAAACACATCGGTGTTATCAAATTTAAAACATATAATTAATAAATGGGTGAAAATTGCTTGTGTCCATAATGGGCAGCATTAATATGGGTATATATTAATGCTGCCCATTATGGATGACAGCTCAGGTTAAGCCCGAGAGCCCCCGGTAGAGGGGGCTGCGGGTTTTTTTTCACGAAACTGTGTCTCAGGGCTTCTTAATATTGAAAAACCTAGTAATGTGTCATACCAGATTAACGGGAAGAAACTCAGCTAACTGACAGTACGAACCATTTTTACCAAAACAAAACACAAGTCTCATAAGAAGCGTCTAAATGACCCCTGAGCGAAAAAATGCTAAGGCACTTAGCACAGAACTCAAGGTAAAAATACCCTTATTACTTATCGTAACTGCACATACAAGATATATTATATAGGTATTAGTATCATCACTGAGCGATCAGAACTCGCGACAGGGGAAGCAAACACAGACATCACAACACGTAGCATTACGGAGCAAACACGGGAGATTGTCTCACCTTAGCTGTTTTATTTTTTTTATTTAACCTTTATTTAACCAGATAAAAAACATTGAGATAAAATCTCATTTTCAATGCTGACCTGGCCAAGAAGGCAGCAACGTTACACATAACACATAACACAAACATATAAAATACAGAGAACATAAAGAAAACAAAAGACGAAAAAGCAGTCACTACATTGTGCACATTAGGACAATAAAAAAAGTACACTACTTGTTACTGCAAGAGCAGCTGGTGGTGAGGACTTCAGACAACTTCAATTTAAAACATGAAATAGAGACAAGTGCCCTCAGTTTAAGGCGTGATTGAAGGTCATTCCAAGACCAAGGACCATAATAAGAAAGACTCCTTTTTCCAGCCTCAGTCCGTACAGTAGGAACCTGGAACCGTATCCAGGCACTGGATCTGAGTTTGTAAGAGTCACAAACTGGAGCAAATCTGACACATTTGTAGAGTGGAAGCTTACCTAAAATGGCTTTATACATTAATAAAAACCAGTGCTGCATCCTACGCATAGTAAGTGAGGACCATCCAGTTAGGCTATACAATGTGCAATGATGAGTCCTATAGGGTGCATTCGATATATAACGCAGTGCAGCATGGTAAAGTGGGTCAAGTTTGGCCAAAACAGTGGGACAGGCAAATCTATAAATGGTATCACCGTAGTCCAGCTGGGACAGGAATAAGCCAGAGACCAACCTTTTACGGGATGAAATTGAAAAACAACATTTAAATCTGAAAAGGAAGCCAAGAGTGAATTTCAATTTCTTTGTTAAAACTTCAATATGGTGTTTAAAGTTCAGATTACTGTCCAACCAAAAGCCCAGATATTTGTAGGTATCAACAAATTCAACAGAAACGCCATCAAGGGTGTCAATGGAGAGGCAAGAGGAGGACGCTGACTTGGGAGCAAAAAGCATTGCTTTGGTTTTCTTACTGTTCAATAGCAGTTTAGAATCAAGAAGCGCATGCTGCAGCGTGATAAAATCTGATTTTAAATTGGAAACGGCCATATCCAGAAAAAAGATTATTAATTTGCCCCTTTTAGAAGTGAAGATATGGTCATTTGTTCTGGGAATGTCATTTTCGAGCCTGAGACCTGAAAAACAGGCTTAACAGGTTAATATACCAACATGACAGCTCATTGTTACTTTGTAATTCTACTCCACTACAATTCAGAGGTTAACCTGGTATTGTTACTCCACTACATTTATTTTAGTTACTTTGCAGGCGAGATATAGTTGGTGCTTGAAAAGATTAAACATTTATCTGCAGATCCCTATAAAGCATATTCATTACTCGTTATTCTCTACTAATAGTTAATTAAAAACTGTATATAATGGCTATTTTGCACATCCCTTTCAAGATTTCAAGATTTTCTAAGGTTTATTGACATATCATATACACAACTACGGTGTAGTTATGCAATGATCAAAAGCTTGGGTTGCAGGTTCCTCAACAGTGCATTACAAGACATCTATCAATATGTGTGTATACCTCCACCATTAAACCGTCATATTCTGCACATTTCTTATTCTATCTACATACATCTTATAAGAGTATAATTAATATGTATAATATCAGTTAAAATAAGTGCTTCAACATAGTTAACATTGCAGGAAAGCAATATATTAGACGTTAAGTACTTTGTCAGGCTTAATATTTATCTGTAGATACCCCCAAAGCTTTTTTCTTATTTAAAAGAAGACCTTAACCTAAAGTATTCTTTAATGTTTAAATAAAGGTTAATTAGTTTTTCTGTTTTGCACATCCTCCTATTAATATCTTTGTACATCCAGCACTATACTGTTTTATTGTAGAGATCACTTACAGTATCTTCTTGATATTTTATATTCTATATTTATATCATTGACCTTATACTTTCCCCCTATTTTGTATGTACTCTTAATATTTAAATGTTTTCATCAAATATAACATATTCAATAAAAAAATGCAATAATGTGCTTTAACCACTAGGCGGTGCAGGTTAAAAAACTGTCAAGTTTAAAGTGTTAACACAACAAATTATACTTTTTATTATTAGTGTAGGACACTTGTGTATGTATAACATCTGAAGATGTGTAGTTTTATTCATGTTTTCACATAATTTTACAGGATATTGCTATATTATTTGACATGTTTTACTTCTGCACATTAATATCTGATTTGTAAAACATCACAGACAGAAAGGTATATCCGTCATTTAATGGTAAGCTATTGAAATTCTGAATCCATAGATGTGTCTCCCATCACCCAAATCCCCTGACTATTCTCTCAACTCAGTATTTACATTCTTTAATTCAAAGAAAATCAGTAATATCTTAAGTCTGGGGCTTCCGGTTTGACTAATGGAGGAGTAGGTCGCACCCCGCGAGAGCTCTGTTGAAATCCTGTCTAATATTACAGTATACTCACTTAATTACGACAACTAACATGTGCAAACGTGTCTAAAAGACAAACGAACATGGGGAAACCTACTAAGAAGCAAAGTCAGCCTGCAGACGACAAATCTTATGAGTGACACAGGGGACCGCATGGGAGATAGCCAAAATGAGGAACATGCAGCTACTAACCACGCTCCGCTAACGCTAGCTGACAGTACTCGTCCTCCCCATGTCCAACACTTTTTAAAGAAAGGCTGCGTTTACAGACAGAATACAATTTACTTTCCACAGACAGAGCTACACATCTAATTACTAAGTCTCGATTTGCTGTTTATGACTCAGGTGATAAGGCTGGGAAGTTGTTAGCCCAACAGGCTCGTCAAGCTCAATCCACTTGTCTTATCCCTAAGATCTATAGTGAAACAGGAGAAACAGTCACTGACCACAGGGACATCAATGATACCTTCAAAGAGTATTACAGCGGTTTATACAGCTCTGAATGTGATA